GGCGGTTCTTCCCCTCCCACGACCCCCTTCAGCCCCTGAGGGGCCCAAGAGAGCCAGAGGCGAAAGGCCCAAGGAGATTCCAGCCCCTCCACAAACTGACCTCTGAATCTGTGGGGCCCTGGTCGGAGGGCCAGAAGGAGGGACACCTCCAGGCTCCTTGGTCCTGCAACAAGGAAAGTAAGAGTAAGAGTTACACCTTTGATCCCAGAGGAAGATTTATCCAAAATCCCAGATGTGGTGGCATTTTCCGGAATTAGGGGAAGATGGAGGGTTTAGGTGCTCCCTGCCCCACGGCTGGTGGCAGCTCCTTCCGCAGGTGGGTTTTGACGGAGTGGATCCCGCCTCTTACATTTCATGTTCCTCGTGGAATTTAGATTCTCCGCACCGAGAGACTCTGGGCGGTGTATAATTTCAAGAGAAACAGCTACATCGGTCTCAAAGTACGAGACATCATCAGAAGGATCCAAAGCCGTATAAAAGGAGGCTGCATCGAGAAAAGGTCCCTCTCCATCTCCCTGACTGCCCGCAGGCCCCTCGGAGCCCCTCTGGCCTGTCTTGGGCGGCCAGAGGCTCCCGCTGCCCCCCTTTCCGCCCTGGGCGAGAGCAGCGGGAGAGGAGCGGCGTCCCCTCCCCTCTTCTGGATCCGCATCTCCCCGCCTCACTCACTGTTGTTCATGGCTCCTTCTCCACGGAACACAAGCCGCCGAATAGCCAGCAGACGCCCAGGTGTCTCTCATCCACGAGAGGTAGCGGCTTATATAGCCGAGGACGGGCACCGGCACATCGCTGACACATAACGCCTCAGGTTCCCAGGCTACGGCCGACGGTGCACCCCTGACACGTAATGCCTTAGGTTCCCGGGCGACGGGCGACGGTGCACCACGGCCAGGGAGCAGCTGAAAGAGCTGGCCTAGGCTCAAGCTCCACCTCAAGGGCGCTTCCGCATATGCCCCTCCCACCCCCCAAAAACCCATAGCCTCCTTCCCGGCTACCCCGCTCCGGACTGCTTACCCGACCCGGAAAAATTGGGGAACGTTTAGGATAGTCACGGGGGGGGAGGGGCGGGATGGGACCACAACCCCGTGAGCGGATTCTTTCCTTGAGTAGATTCTTTTCTTCATATACTGTATTCGGGTTTTTTATTTTGAAGATTTTATTACACCCCGCCCTCTGTGACTCAAAGGCGGGGCATCTAAATCCGTCAAAAAAAGTGAGATTAAGGAGGCGATTCGCTGCCAAGAGTGTCTTTTCCTTTTTTGTTGCTGTTGTTTAGCAGCACTATTTTCTATGACATTCAACATGTAAAATGTGAAATTTTGGAAGGTCCCTTCCAGCTCTAGTGATCTCTCGCTGGAGGCTTCAGGAACCTACAGATCCCTCACCTGGGAAGAGGGACACAAGGTCCTTTCCCCACTGGCCTTTCAGGGACCACTTTCTACCACCTGTATTTTGTGGGAGGCTGGGGACGCAGCTGCAAAGCCAGTGGGATCCCTGTCGGCTGTAAGGGGAGAGGGCCAATCAGGTGCCATGAATGATGGACATTGAAGGACAGGAGAGACCAGGCTCCCTACCAAGATCAAAGCAGTGCGAGCCAGGCTGTTCCCCAGGACTCTGTATGGGAGGGAAAGTGGGACTTGGAAGGAGAAGAGCCAACAAGGACTTTGGAGGCAGCACAAAAGCTTCCTGTGTCCTTTTCTTTGCAGGACATGCCAACCTCCACAGGATACTTGCCGCCTCATCTCGTGGGAGGCAGGCAGGCAGGGAGCATGTGCAGAGAGCAGGTGGAGACTCTCTTAGGCAGTAAATGTACAAAGAGAACATTTTAAATCCTTGTTATACTTCGGCTTCCTAGCTGAGCCTTTTTTATCCCCTCAAAGGAGCTGTCCTAAAGCTTCCTGGAATTCTCGCATGTCCAGCAGGAGCCCCGGATTAGATTTCCAGTCAACGTAAACGAGGCTCTCGCTGCTCAAAGATTTTGCCTCCATTCTGTACAGGTGGTCCTCAGCCTATGACCACAATTGAGCCTGAAATTGATGTTGCTAAGGGAAAAATTTGTTAAATGAGTTTTGCCCCGTTTTATGGCTTTTCTTGCCACATTTGTTAAGTGAATCACTGCAGTTGTTAAATTAATAACACGGTTGTTAAGTGAATCTGGTTTTCCCCTTGACTTTGCTTGTGTTGTGGCCCCTCAGCGGCCTGTGCAGCTAGTAGCTGATTCCGACAGCAGGGAGGCTGGTGTGGTGCTGCAATGAAAGGTGTTTTCAATGGAAGGATCTCTGTGGGCCTAGTCGCAGGAAGGGAAGACAGCGAGGGAAATCAAACCCCAACACATCTTTTCTAGGGAAAAAAAGGCACCTACAGTATTTACTGTATTTTTCGGTGTATAAGATGCACCTTTTTACCCTCAAAAAGGGGGTGAAAATCTGGGTGCGTCTTATACGCCGAATGTAGCCCCGCCCACCCACCGGCCCCCACCCTTCGGCTATTTTCGGGCAGTTCCAGGCGGCGGGGATCTGGGTCGGGGCCGGCAGCTTCGGGGAACAAGGCGGGTGCCACGATTTGCGGCTGGTGCCCCTCTGGCCGCCCAGCGGCAGCTCAGGGCAGACAATGTTCCCGATGACGTCACTCCCCAGCAATGTGAGGAGCGGCCGCCGCGGCTGCCTAAACCCGCTCCGCGCCCAGGAGCCAAGCCGAGAGGAACGGGAGCTCCTAAAGTAAAAGGCCCCTCCTTTCCAGCCACCGCTGCCCGGATTCCCCCAATGCAATTCTCAGAGGCCTGCAATGTGCAGCGGGGGGAACTGGGAACCGTTTTGGATTCGGGGTGGGGATTGCAGCGCTTTTCTTCCCATTGCACATTGCAGAGCCCCGCAACAGTTCTGTGATTACTCAGAGACCTTAGTCGGTGCTGTTAAGGGTGAACTTAAGAAAGACAAATTCACACACTTTTTCACGAAGAGAACGTGGCTCAGTGACTGCAGATTTTCTCCATCGGGATCCGTTAATTTTTTCATATTTTATTGAACAAGTACCGGAAATTGGGTTTTCCAAACAGCTCTGATACAATCTGCCCCTTGATAGTACCGAGTCCCTTTTTCGATATTTGAACCAGTTTCCTACAGTTAGAAAGAAGCAAATACACATTTATTTATTTATTTATTTATTTATTTATTTATTTATTTATTTATTTATTTATTTATTTATTTATTTATTTATTCTTCACGTCCTACAAATATAATTTGGTGCCTCTGCCAGCGAAAAACGGCACTTGGGAGGGTCGTGCTGGGGGGGGGGGTTGCGATGGCAGAGGGAGGGCGAGCAAAACCAAAGCAAAAAGCAAAGAAAGAACAAAAAGGAGAAATGCTTCTTTGCATTTGAGCAGCCAAGAAGGGCCAGAAAAGGAGAAAAGGGGAGGAGGAAAGGCAAATTAAAAGAAGGAAAGAGAGGAAGGGAGCAAGGAAGGGTTGCCCCCCCCCACCCGCTCCGCTTTGCCTTCAGCCCTCATTCTTTCCTAGCCCTGAGACTGCGGGGCCTTGGAGTCCATGGGGCACAAAGGGGCCGGAGGGCCTCCACCCGGACTCGCAAAAGCGCCCGCAGCTCCGTTTCTCCTTGTCCGGCGCGTCAGATGAGGAAGTGCAAACACGGAAAGCCCCAGAAGAGAACTGCTGAGTTTCCTCTACGCGGCACACCCTTCGGTCGACCTCTGGGCAGCCCTGCCAGCCAGTCCACGGGAGCCGTGAAGCGGTGCGAGGAGGGAAGCGGGGGCGGCCCAGAACACCCGTTGCCTCTACTTACTCCACGGCCACCGCTACTCCTCCTCCAACTCCGCCCGGGCCTTTCTGGGTTTTTTCTGTGGGGGGCGGACCGGCCGGGCCGCTGCTGCCTTCGCTGCTTCCCGACGCCGAGGGAGGAAAGTCTAGAACGAGGCGCCCCGGGTGCAGCACACAGCCGAAAGACCGCCGCTCCCTCCCGCCACCCGCCCTTCCCCCTCCGACGGAACAAGGCGCAGGCCCCAACCCTTCGGACCGGGAGACCGGGGCATTTGGCGAGTTATCCCACCCGGAGACCTTCTGCGCGCCGGTATAAGAGCAGGCTGGCGTGGGAGACGGGGGGGGCTCTGTCCAGCCTCTCCCTGGCAAGGATGCGCCCGCCGATTCCCGCCCCCGCTGTGGCCCTGGGGGACAAGGCCATCTTTGGGTGCCCAAGAGGCGCTCTGCGTGTCTGTGTCTTCCGAGGGGAGGGGACCCTTCGCTTCAGTTCTCCTCTCCGTCCTCCGGCTCCGATATACTGTGAACGGTGCAAGCGTAGAAGGGGAAGCGGCCTCAGCGCCACATGCGCTGCATAGACCCCCTCCAGACACACCCTCGAGACTGGCGCTGCTACGATCCTTCTGGTAAATAAGGCTCCGATTGCGACTCCCTCGCTGGTTGTTTTGCGTGGAGACGAGACTCTCCCTTGCATTGGGCCGCTCCGTCGTTTGGACTCCCAGCGAGAAGATCCGAGGCTCTTCGGCTGATGGATGAAAGCGACGTTTCCATTGCGGCTGATGTTTTCCGTTCTCACTGACAATATATCAGCCCCAGGATAATCCTCCTTCGAGGGGGAATGGATTTTTAAGGGTTTTTAATACTTAATATTGATTTTGTCTGTTTTTATTGTTGTGAGCGGCCCTGAGTCCTTTTCGGAGAGAGGGCGGCATATAAACTTGATGAACAAGAATAAGAATCCGGAAGCGGCGCAGCATGACTGGCTGGGAAAATGCCGGGCTCCGAGGAGCTTGGAAAAAACCAGCCAGAGGAACCGAGGTGGGGGGGGGAGGGGGGGCGTCTTCGGACCGAAACTGTCCTGTAGGGACAGTGAAGAAGGAGAGGCAGCTCAGTGTCTAAAGAGGGACAGGTAAGTCCCTTGGGTAGCCCGAGAAACTCTCCGGGGGTGGGGTGGGGGGCCATCAGGGTGAATCGCCGTGAAGCTGGAGCCTCTGGAGCAAGCCATGTGCAGGAGGGAAGACTAGGACAGAGTGTTGCTGTTGGGTGAGGGATTGGCCAACCCATAGACAATAACATGAAAATTCTAAATATTTGAAACGACTAAAATTACCCCGCGTGGAAATAGCGGCAAAAGAGCGGCAGGGGGAGATGGCGGATGGAGAGAGAAAGTGGGAATGACAAGCGCGCCATCGAAGAACCGGACGAAAGGATTCAAAGTGATTGATAAATGGAAATGGAAATTTGGAACTTGGATTTAATGTGGATTGGATTACAAACTGATTGGTAGTGTATACAGGTGACAGAAGAACTGGAAAAGTGGCTTTTTCTCTTTTTGGACCTGGTTAAAAACGGATGTGGATCACAAATAAAATGGGGATTTGTTAATTAGCTGAGTGGAACTGTGGATTAGAGAGAGAAATCTGCAGGAGAACGAACAACCCCGGCGGAGAAAAGCTTAGAAAGAGGCGCCCCGGGTGCAGCACACAGCCGAAAGACCGCCGCTCCCTCCCGCCACACGGCCTTGCCGGTGCCCCCCCCTCCTCCGACGGAAGAAGGACAGGCCGCAACCCCTCGGACCGAGAGACCGGGGCATTTGGCGAGTTATCGCGGGCGGCGGCCCACCCAGAGATCTTCTGCACCCCGGTAAGGCCGCCGTGGGAGACGGGGGCCCCTGCCCAGCCTCTCCCAGGCAAGTGTGCGCCCTCGGATTCCCGCCACCGCTGTGGCCCGGGGGGCAAAGGGGGGCAACGCCAGTCTTTGGGTACATTTGGCCCATGGACCGTCGCCTTCTAGTGGTCGCGGGGAGAAGGGTTTTCTAGGGTCTGCAAAGGAAGGAACCAGGCAAAGGTACCGTTAAGGTCCCGCGCGTCAGATGAGGAAGTGCAAACACGAGAAGGGCATCTGCGCGCTGACTTTCCTCTACGCGGCACCCCCTTTGGCTTCGGCGTCGGCTTCGGCTTTTGTTTCTGCTCCGGGTGGGTCGGCCTCTGGGCAGCCCTGCCAGCCCGTCCACGGGAGGGAAGAGGGAGCGGCCCAGAACACCCGTTGCCTCTACTCCTAACTTACTCCACGGCTACCGCTACTCCTCCTCCGACTCCGCCCGGGCCTTTCTGGGGTTTTTGGGTGTGGGGCGGAAAAACGACGCTCGCTCCCGCCACACGCCCTTGCCGGTGCCCCCCCTCCCACTCCGACGGAAGAAGGCACGGGCCGAAACCCCTCGGCGTCCGGACTGCCCGACGGACCGGGAGACCGGGGCATTTGGCGAGTAATCCCGCGCGACGGCCCATGTTGCGTTCATCCTAGCGGGCTCCTCGTGAGAGGTTCAGATTAGAGAAAGCACAAGGACAGGTGTTTCTCGGGAGGAGAGAGCCCAGAGCTGACTCCGTCACCCTCTTTTATTAAGCAAGGGTATTGGGAGTATCAGAAGGCATGATTACAGCTATACATTCTCATATTACATCCGTGATACAAAGGATTTTCTCCATATGTGGACATAACTTTCACATCCTACCATATTACAGTAAATCACGTGAATTCTAGGAAAGCGATACTTAAGGTGAAACAAAACTTAACTCTGGCTATGTTATCATATTTGCTGCCAGTTGCTGCCAGCCAAGGGGCCCATCCTCCCAGTATCAGTTTACCTCAAGCCTCAGGAATGTTCTACAAGGAGATGTCTCTGCCTTTGCAAATACAGTCTATGTTCTGAACAAAGAGAGAACGAATAGGGCCCTTCAGAGAGTATCCATATGAACCCGCTTTTTCTACTCAGATTATTTCGGTGCCAAGCTCCATATAGTGTCCAACCAGTTAGACTGGTCTATACATGTACTATGGCCACCTGATTGCCACAGGCCCACCCGGAGATCTTCTGCACGCCGGTACGAGAACAGGCTGGCGTGGGAGACGGGGGCCCCTGTCCAGCCTCCCCCTGCGGGGAGAAGGGTTTTCCATGGTTTGCAAAGTAACGAACCAGACAAACGTACAGATATTTAAACATATATCCTTACTGTGGGTCGTCGCCTCTAGTAGTTGCTCTCTTCCCGGTGTGCAGGAGATCTGCGGGTCGGCTGCCGCGGGGGATAACTGGCCAAATGCCCCGGTTTCCTGGTCCGACAACAATCAATGGGCCACATATACGGGTATCATATATACGCTCTAATCATCCGTTAAGATCCCATCGTTACTTTGCAAAGAGCTCTGGGTACAGGGAGTCTTTGGAGTCTATTGGCTCTTGAAAGGTTCTTTGTAGGGCAGCTTTGCTGAAACTCTTTGGGGTTCAGCTGTCAAAACTGTCCCATGTCTGTTTCTTCACAGATCAAGAGGGAGCTTTGCTTCCTTGGAACTTCCGTGTTCTCTTTCTTAGGCAGTGGTAAGCAAATCTGAGTTTGGGGGATATATGTGGGTTCCATATTTATTTATTTATTTATTTATTTATTTATTTATTTATTTATTTATTTATTTATTCCTTCTGAACAGCGCCGGAAAAGACGCCTGGAGAGCGGTTGGAGGGCCAGTCTCGCTGAATCTGATCGAACACTGGTAAGGTCGCATATTAAGACCTACCTAGTGGCGATAAAGACGGCAAAGTCTAACTACTTTTCCGCCTCTATTGCGTCATCAGGGAATCGTCCGGCCGCCCTGTTTAGGATGACCCGCGCCCTGCTCCATCTGGGAGTGCGGGAGGATCCCTTAGAAGGCAGGGCGGAGGATTTCGGACAATACCTGTATGACAAAATCGCTCAGATCCGGGGGGATTTGGACTCTGACTGGGTAGATCAGGGCAGGGTGACGAGGAACAGTCTTGAGAATGTTATCTGGGAGGAGTTTGATGCTGTGACTCCCGATGATGTGGACAGGATTTTGGGGAGACTTAGTGCGGCCACATGTTTACTGGACCCGTGTCCCTCCTGGTTGGTACTGGCTTCCCGGGAGGTTACACGAGGCTGGCTCCAGGGCGTCATTAATGCTTCGTTGAGTGAGGGTCACTTCCCCGCTGCCCTGAAAGAGGCGGTGGTGAGGCCTCTCCTCAAGAAGCCGTCCCTGGACCCAGCAATATTGGCTAACTATCGTCCTGTCTCCAACCTTCGCTTCATTGCGAAGGTTGTTGAGAGTGTGGTCGCGCAACAGTTTCCACAATTCCTGGAGGAAACATCCTATCTAGATCCGTTCCAGTCGGGTTTCAGGTCTGGGCACAGCACGGAAACGGCATTGGTCGCGTTGGCGGATGATCTCTGGAGGGCTCGGGACAGGGGTTACTCCTCTGTTCTGGTCCTATTAGATCTCTCAGCGGCTTTTGATACCATCGACCATGGTATCATGCTGCACCGGCTGGAAGAGTTGGGGGTGGGAGGCACCGTGTTGCGGTGGTTCTCCTCCTTTCTCTCCGACCGGTCGCAGTTTGTGTTGGCAGGGGGGCAGAGGTCGACCTCGAGGCCTCTCATTTGTGGAGTGCCGCAGGGATCGGTCCTCTCGCCCCTTCTGTTCAACATTTATGTGAAGCCGCTGGGCGAGATCATCCGTGGCTTTGGGGTGAGATACCACCAGTACGCTGATGACACCCAGCTGTACATTTCCACCCCAGGCCACCCCAACGATGCCCTTGAAGTGATGTCCCAGTGCCTGGAGGCTGTGCGGATCTGGATGGGGAGGAACAGGCTCAGGCTCAACCCTTCCAAGACTGAGTGGCTGTGGCTCCCGGCATCCCGATATAGTCAGTTGACTCCATCACTGACTATTGGGGGAGAGTCTTTGGCCCCCACTGAAAGGGCTCGCAATCTGGGAGTCCTCCTGGATAGGCAGCTGTCTTTGGAGGAACATCTGACGGCTGTTACCAGGGGGACCTTTTATCAGGTTCGCCTGATTCGCCAGTTGCGGCCCTTTCTTGATCGGGATTCCTTGTGCACAGTCACTCACGCCCTCGTCACCTCTCGCCTTGACTACTGCAACGCTCTCTACATGGGGCTCCCCTTGAAGAGCACCCGGAGGCTCCAGCTGGTCCAGAATGCAGCAGCGCGGGTAGTGATGGGAGCAACATGGCGCTCCCATGTAACACCGCTCCTGCGCGAGCTGCACTGGCTCCCGGTGGTCTTCCGGGTGCGCTTCAAGGTGTTGGTTATCACCTTTAAAGCGCTCCATGGCATAGGGCCTAGTTATCTCCGAGACCGCCTGCTGCTACCGACGACCTCCCACCGACCCGTGCGCTCCCACAGAGAGGGCCTCCTCAGGGTGCCATCAGCCAAACAATGTAGGCTGGTGGCCCCCAGGGGGAGGGCCTTCTCTGTGGGGGCTCCTACCCTCTGGAATCAGTTGCCCCCGGAGATAAGAAGAATCCAGGACCTCAATGCCTTCCGTCGTTCCCTGAAAACCCATCTTTTTCAACAAGCCGGGTTGGCCTAAGAAGAAATTTTTAAAATTTTAAAATTTTTAAATTCTTTTAATTAGTCTGTGATTCTTAACTTTCGGGCCAAAATTTATATATATTTTTAAATGTTTTAATATTTGTATCCTATGTTTTTTATCTTGGCTGTACACCGCCCTGAGTCCTCAGGGAGAAGGGCGGTATATAAATTGGAAATTAAATTAAATTAAATTAAAATTCTAAGGATATTCCCATATCAAGAGATGGGGACAATTTAAATCCAAAGTGTTCTTTATGTCTCCAATTTGTCTTATATTTGTCTCCTATTTGTTGTTTCAGGTGGATCCAGAGAGGCAGCATATTTTATTCTGCTCTTGGGCTTGGTGGTTAAGGTAGTTCCAGGAAGTGGCCCTCTCCAGCCTTGAGGTTTGTTTGCAGCAGAATGATCCACCATCGCCCACCCCTCCGTCTATCCACCCACCCGTCCACCCCGTCCTTCTGGCTTCTCACAGGTCTGCATGCCCAGATCCAGCTGGTGCCTAAGGAGGTTTCTTCAGGACTCTCCCAGACACTCCACAGAACAAAGAGCAAAGTCTTTATCAGCAGAGACTCAGCAAAAGGCCGGCCATCTTCATACTTTCCTCCCTGAGAAGTTTCATATACAGGTCGTCCTTGAATAAGGACTAAGTCAACGGCTGCCTTAGTGACCATTCAAAGTTTCAATGGCACTGAAAAAGGTGAATTATGACTTACAGCAGTTGCAGGATCCTCACGGTCTCCTGATGAAAATTCAGGTGCTTGAAAATGGACAAATATTTATGACATTTGGGGCACCCTGGGGTTACCAGGAGCCAAGGAAATGCGGGAGCGAGATTCACTGGACCACCATGTTACTGAGGGGACCTCTTGGATGAGAAGCAAGAAAAGTCCAGTTGCCTCTTGAAAAAAGCACCTTTGGGACAACCCTGACCTGGATGGCTGGGAATCTCTAGATGTCGGACCATCTGCCTAACTTGAGAACTGCAGTGATTCACTTTACAACTGTGGCAAAAAAGAGCAAAACTCATTTAGCCACAAAATGTTGGGCTCAGTTGTGGTCATACGTGGAGGACTACTTGGACACAAGACCTGCCTTTTTATTCCGATGGGTTTTTATAGCCACCCAAAATGAGCCATGCAGCCATTCTCAGGGCTGCCTGATTTTGCACTGTAAAAGTCCAGAGCATTTATAACTGGAGTCCCCTTGGCTTTGATTTTGCTATTGGAAATTCTTTGCACCTGAAAAATGGGATTCTTTTTATAAGTCAGTTGAGTTGCTGAGAATTTAACTGACCTCAGGGCTTCCATCCGCAGGAAATACTCATTGAGTATATTTTCATATTGAGATTTCCTTTTACTTGAAATATGAATGTATGACAGTTGAAGTATACGAAGAAAAACATTGACTACAAAATATAATAAATTCATATTTATATTTATATTGATTATATTTGTATAATATGATGAATAAATAAATTTGTATTTCCTTCTTTGTAACTGTAGGAGACTTTTTGCATCAGAACTCTTTGGAGGAACAAATTTTCAGCAGTTGTTCAATTAAGAATTTAAAAATTAAAAGAGAAAGATTCTGATGGAGCAAATCTATAGTCAGTGAGCCATGTTGTGTTCAAGAAAAAGAAGTGGGTGTATTTGTCCTTATTACATTCACTGTGAACAGCTCCAACTAAGATTTCTAAATGATCACAAAACTAGGGTCCAACAAATGAGATGTGGACACAGACATTTGTGTGTGTGTGTGTGTGTGTGTGTGTGTGTGTGTGTGTTTGAGAAAGGCTGTTGTTGGGGACAGAAGCCCCTTTGGATTCAGGCTAGGTCTGTACATCCCTGGTCTGGGAATCCTGATTGGAGGAGACATTGGTCAGCCCTTCAAGGTAGTCCAGACTACAAACATAACAATTAGTACTAGCTCTATCTCTCAATGTAAGGTTACAATACAGAATCTTGCAACTCTGAAAGTATTTGTCGCGCCTTCTCCTTTTACTCTCTGGGAAACTAGATAATTGTTTCTGAAACACTTTCCTGTTGAGGTCCGCAGGCAGCCTGTGGAGCTGGTAGCAAAGTCGGACAGTGAGGAGGTTGGGGAGGAACATGGGGCAGTCCTGGATTCTGGGGAAGGCTCAGACGAGGGCTCTGCATCGGAGGCAGAGAGGGGGCCAGGGCCATCTGGGTGGTATGTGCTGCCTCCGGAGCCTCCAGAGTCGGACATCAGCGAGGCAGCGCCTGTTCCCAGTGCGCGCATGCGCAGAGTTGCCAGAAGGCAAGAACAGTTAAGAAAAAATGGACAACTTGTGAATAGGGCTTGGAGATCCATCAGACATAAAAGAGGAGCAAAGGCACGTGCCTTTGCAGGAAGCAACGTTGTTCATTCTGGTCAGTTTACATTTTGAAGCTCCGTTTTTGTCTCTGTGCTCCGTGTGGCCTTGCACCACTAGTTGCCAGTTAGGTCTTTGGCAGCGGGTCAAGGGAGATGAAGGTGGGTGCTTATCAGCCTTATCCCGAAGGACTGTGGCAGGCTTCTGCCGGACGCTTAACAAACTATTTGTGACTCATTAACGGGCTGTGAATGGACATAATTCACAGCCGTTGAAATAAAAAGAGGGTTTGTGGGACTAAGCATGTGTTTTTATTGTCTCAAGAATCCAGGTCAGAACCTTTCCATGCATCACACACCCCTTTTTCCTGAAGGTTGTCCAGTCTGCAGCTCTTCCCTGCCTCCCAAGATAATTCCCGGGTACCACTGCTCCATCCCAACACCCGTTTCCTAGATGCCTTTTCTCAGAGACTGTTTGCAAAGAAAAACAGAGATGTAAGCCTGTAAAATCAGGTTTTGCTCTATTGTCACTGAGGACGAAGAGCATGAATAATATCAGCTGAAAGGGAAAAATGCCCTTAATTCATCCCTGGACTAGAGCAAAGGGAGGTTGGACAAGCAATCCTGTCTGGTCCCTTAAACTCTGGACCCTCTTAGATCCCTCAGGGAGGTGGGAGATTTGAACAGGGTGGAATTTATCTTTCCTCCCAGGGAATTCTCCCCAAGGGCAAACAGAAACATTTGCTTCCAGATGAGATCAGTTCTCCAAATATTAGGAGATCCAGACATGTTCTGGATTGATGTGATTTCTCACAGACATTACAAGATCCGTGATCCTTCCACCCCCAGCTCCCAGGATGAGACCCCCTCCTCACCTGATCTTTTCCCAACCCCCGGGGCAGCAGGGGCAGCAGATGCTCCAGCCGCAGCCACTGATGTCACAGCTGGTGCAGGCAGCTGCAAAGCTCCTGGGGAAGGGAAAAGCTTCAAAATAAGCCCCATGGACGCCTCTGGAGTCTGGGACTTGCAGGAAAGCTTTGGAGCAGAGCAAAGAAGCAGATCGGGTGAGTCTCCAGCAGGGGGCAGGGCAAACAAGAAGGAAATTGGCCCTGGAAGAGTCAGCTATTTCTAAATACTTTGATAAGGGAGAATTAAACATGCCTTCTACTTCTTTGCCACTTAACTTTGTACTCTTACCTTAACAGCTTTAAAGAAGTTTTTTACGGCCGGCCCGTAGGATGCTTTTTAAATCTTTATAACTTTAAATTAAGGAGGCTCCCTGATTGCCCAAAGGCAAGGAGGGGAATGGATGAAGTCGGAATCAGGAAGTCTGAAATTACTGACTTTGGGAATAGTTTCCTGTTTGACCACCAGAGGGATCCAAAGGCCAGAATATTCCTCATTAGTTATCTAGAAAAGAAACCTACTGTTTGATGGTGATTAAACCCTGCAGGGTAAATTACAGAAGAATTTTTAAATATGATGGACAATTTAGTATTGGTAAACTCCTGGAGGAAGAAAAATTGGATTATATTATTCAATGCAACTATTTAGAAAGAAGAAAACGGAAGAAAAGATGCAAAAGTTCTTGGATCAATTTAGAAATACAGAGATGGAATTGCAAAAAACACAAATGGATTCTAAAATTCTACCACAAGATAAATTGCTACATCAGCAACTCTCTCTGTTAACAGCCCGAGCAATAGAAACTAAAGTGAACCATGTGGAAGGGAGGCATTTTGAATTTGCAAATAAACCAGGAAGGCGGCTGGCATGTAAACTGAGAAAGGAAAGGAAAAAGAAAAGGATGGAGAAAAAGCAAGAAGATGATCCAGCAATAACAAATAATGATCTCATCAGAGTCTGTCGGAATGCGGTGGCCATAGTACATGTATAGACCAGTCTAACTGGTTGGACACTGTATGGACTTTAGCACCGAAATAATCTGACTACGGAAAGCGGGTTCATATGGATACTCTCTGAAGGGCCCTATTTTGTTCTCTCTTTGTTTATAACATAGACTGTATTTGTAAAGATAGAGACATCTTCTTGTGCTACATTCCTGAGAAGTGAAGTGATCAGGAGATGGGCCTCTCGCCTGCTAGTAACTGGCACCAAATAACCAGAGTTAAGTTTTGTTTTACCTTTAGTATCGCTTTCCTAGAATTCACGTAATTTACTGTAATTGGTAAGAATGTGAAACTTATATGGATGCTTTTCTATTTCTTGTATGTAATATGAGATGTGTAGCCATAATAACGCCTTCTGATGACGCTGTATTTTGATAACTAATAAAAGAGGGTGACGGAGTCAGCTCTGGGCTCTCTCATCCCGAGAAACACCTGTCCTTGTGTCTTCTCTAATCTGGACCATACATGAGGAGCCCGCCAGGATGAATGCAACAAGAGTCATTTTTATAACTGTTAGACATTGAACACATAGAAGACTCCCTACAGAAATAAGACACCCCAAAGTTCTTATCAGCTCAAAGACGGAAAGCTCTGTTCCCTCCTGGCAATTTTTGGCTGTAATGGGCACAAACACCCCAGAAAGCAACACTATACAGGACAATACATTGTCAAATCACAATCTGAATATAAGCGCCTCTTTGGGACTTTTCTCAGTTTCAGCACAGTAGATAATTTCATCGAATGTACAGGTGGTCCTCACTTAACAACCACTCAATGACCAACAAAAATATGATGGTGCCGAAGGAAGAGACTTACAACAGGTCCCCAAAGTGATGGCTGTGCAGCCCCCTCACAAACACAGGATTGCAATCGGGATGCTTGGCAACCCAGCCGCACTTACCACCTATTGCCAATCGCCCCACAACCATGGGATCGCGAGAGGCAAACTTTCCTGCTGGTTCCCCTGAAGGCCAAGGATGAAGCCAGCAAGCCAGCAGGGAAGGCCTCAAGCCTTTGCCGCCCGACTGGTTCCTGAGGGCTGCCTGGGTATCCAGAGTGGCCTTTTCCAGCCAGCCTCTGGGAGAGCAAAACTGCTGCTCTTGGCGGAGGGAGTTTGTCCAGCACAAGGCTAAACTTTTCAGGCTCTTCGCTTTCTGGCTGAAGAACTCCTCCAGTGGACAGGGGTTTGTGGGGGGAAATCCTGGCTAAAGGAAGCTTGGACCCCAAAGACCCCAGCCCTCTTCAGCCTATACAAGAGCTCAGTTAGTGACCGTTCCAATTTACAACGGCACTGAAATGTGACTTATTATCATTTTCCACGCTTATGACCATTGCAGCATCCCCATGGTCACAGGATTTACATTCGGATGCTTGAGAAAAGACTCATTATTTATGACGGTTGTGGTATCCCAGGGTCATGTGATTTACGACCTTCTGACAGGCAAAGTCTACAGGTGGAACAAGTGCAGCGATTCACTTAACGAATGTGGCAAGAAAAGTCATAAAATGGGGCAAAACTCACTTAACAAATTTCTCACTTAGAAACATAAATTCTGGGCTCAATTGTGGTCATAAGTTGAGGACTACCTGTACTCCATGTCCAGTAAACCACAGCCGACTCCAAAAGAAAGCAAAACCACACGGTTTCTTCATCCAGGAAATTTCCCCCCACCCCATCCCCCAATTCTACACCCAGGAGACAAAAGCAATGCAAACTTTGATACAGGAAGTATGATTTTATTCTTTTTACTCAAAAATCCCAGCACACAACTGTCTCAAATACATCTCCAGATAAACATTTTGTATATCAAAAACAGTCATGCAGCTTTTTATAGCTTTTTAATGGAACAATTACTGAACATTTGTTCCTTGAAAGAGCTCTGATATCCCATTCTAATCCCAAATCTATTTTTTGTTATTACGTACAAGTTTCCTATTGTTTAAAAAAACAAGCAAGTACAAATTCATTTATTTATTCTTCCCATTCAAGAAATATCCAGCTTTATACTGAATATGGCTTTCACCTGGATTTGTGATATTTTATGCTTACTCTTTTTATCTCTATCAAAATACTTTAATATTCATATTTCAAGTAAAAGAAATCTCATCATAAAAATAAATACATGATTCAATTCATATTTTCTATAGATGGAATCCCTGAGGTCAGTTACGTTTCCAGCAAAAATGATTTATAAGAAGAACCCCAATTTTCAGATGCAAAGTATTTCCAATTGCAGAATAAAAGGGGA